TATGTACCAGTTACCATATGTATAATTTGTTCTTGATATATTCCGTGTTGGTAGGTTGGAATGATTAAAAACTAAATATCATCTACTAATGTTTCAGATCCACCCCAACTTCGACGACAAAAATTTCCAAGGGTTTGAAAATCTGAAGTGGAGAAAAAGAATAAACTGTCTGTTGAATAATTACTTTTTGAATTTAATGTTAACAATTAATTGTAGTGTTTAGACTGATAGTGTACCTCCTTAGGTCAAAATGTAAATTTATTGTTAATATATTTTTATACTATTGTGCCTGTAAAGTTAATTTTGATAAGCTTGACAATAATATTTGTATAGCTTTTGTATATTATGGACTCTTTTATTTCTTTGATATTTTATTCATTTAGACCTATTTTTAAAGTTTGTGATAAAATATTTAAAAACTTCTGTATGTAGCAATCTTATCTCTAAATTGTGAGTGTAATTATTTATGTTATTTAATGTTTTTGTATCCAGGAAACGAACAAGCCTAATGCATATGCTTTTATCGTTAAAATGTAAATGACGATTTCATTTTATTTCAAAATTATTAGATTATTAGTTCAGAGTCTATTGTGTGTATATGTATTGCCAATATATCACCTACTATCTACTTGTTTATTTTAGAAGATTGGTTAATTTATAAAAATAAAGTCTAACAATGAATCATGACTCGTTATGAATGTCCTTTATTCTTTTAGGTAAAATCTATCAACAGTAGAACCTCAATAACACCAAATTTTCATAATCCCCTTGCATTCCCTGTTAATCATCATGCCTAAAGTACCTTTTTAGGTTGAAGGTTTTAAATATTTAACCTTGATAAGTCAAATTTTACTGTGTTGTAGTTTAAGTATCTCGTTCATGAGTCTCGGTAACTTGAAGTTTACCTACCTAAGTCAGAAGTTCTCATGATGTGCCTCAATTACCAAAGTGTTATCTTTATTCATATTGCATAGTGAGCAAGTCAGCCGTGTTTTGATTCTTGTCTAGGCTTGAAAATCTATCTTCTTTGTTTGGCTAGTTCTGTTAGCCTACAGGTTACTGAAATTATTTTGGGCGCATCATGTCAGCTACAATGGAAAACTAGGTATAAGGCCGCCAATTGAACGGAGGTAATAGAGAAGACAACAGTTGTTAATCTTATTAATATTTCTAAACACTATTATTCATCAAAAAAAATGTCCATTTACTGTTCTTGATTATGCTTGTAACTCTTCTGATTGAGTATGGCTCAATTAGGGTGAAAACATAGTGGAGCGGCGAAGGTAGCGAGTCAAGAAACTGGATTACAGGTATTTTGAATATATATATAAAACTCGCCTTTTGGCTTGCTGGGAGCTCCTCACTTATGCTGTGGAATATGTAGAGGCGTTTAATCACAGCCACCTCTAATACAAGGCCGCGGCGAGCGAAAAGTGGCAACGTCGCATCCGTGTCTTGGTGCGCGGTCGTCTTTCCATTACAGTTAATGGAAGAGTCGCGTACTCTACGTACATAATCGCGTTTCTACTACCCTTAATCATTAGTAATGACATTGAGCTTGTTACTACACCATGCCAGATAGATGTGATGTGCCTGGACGCAAGAATAATTAAGAAAGCTCAATTAAAAATGAATAATACATACAGTGTTCTAAGATTCTAAGCGATCCGCGGCGTCAGCAACAATGTCTTCCTGCTATTCTTTAATCAAATTAGACATCTTAAAACAATTCTCGTTTTTGTGTGAAACATTTTCACGAATATGAACTTAGATTTGTAAAAAAAAGGAAGAATAAGACATTGATTCGTGTAAATATAGACGCGAGAAGTGATTTTTAGATGAGAATGCCGTATTATTTCCTTATTTATTTGTCAATCTTGATAAAAGCTGTTGTTATGTGATAAAAATAACTGAAATAACTGGCACTTTAATAGCTATTTACTTTACAAGTGTAGTAAGAGCGTTTTTACATCACGCAGGTGAAGGTCGTGCAACGAGCGGAAGCGAGTTGCATAATTTACCTAAGTGATGTATAAACACGCTCTTGCGTAACGTGTAACGTACAAGATTTTACCTGACCCGACAATATACAGGAGGTTACGAACAATATTAATCATTATCCATTTCACTCATCTTCTAACAGTAACGTTCATTTACAAACAAAAGCTAGGTTAGGAAAATTTTTCAAAACATAACAATAAAATTCAAGAGCACAGCTGATTTCTAGCGTTGAATGTCGTTGGCTCCATAGAGGTATATTTTTTTTAAGTTAATCACTCAATGTTATTTAAATGGGTTTCATTACATCACCGAGTGAGTTTTTGATACTTTACATCACTCGAGAAGTAAGGAAGTTGTATACATCACGCTTGGGATAGGGAAGTTTAACATGGCGGGTTAGGTAAAGAAATAAATCGGCGTTTCTGTTAAGTAGGCCTAGTAAAAAATATGTACAGTATTACACTATCTAACAATAAAAGCATCATAGTCTCCGACTCAATTTTGAATGTAGATGTTATAAAAAATTCTATTAATATTGTGGAAAGCCATATGGAGGCTTAGATTTTGAAATCGTTTACAAAATATTCAAATTAAATAAATTATTTAGTCAGTATGCCTTCCAAATGAAAACTTCAAATTTTGTTGTTGCTAACTTATGGTTTCCTCGGGTAGTCTATAACATAATATTTCTATTGAAAATTGAAAATTAATTTTATTTGAACAAATTGTTAGATGCTAGTCTCTACAAATCTCAAAGTCTCTACAAATCTCAAAGTCTCTACAAATCTCAGAGTCTCTACAAATATTGAAGTGGCAATAAGTTAGTCCTACTGTATTACCATTCTTGGTATAGTAGTTATATTTTGAAAAATTTAACCCCAGTTAGTAGTAGTTTTTACTATGTTGAATAACACACATATATACAGACACCATGAGATTGCTATATAATAGTATAGATTATCAAATTGACAAAGTAAATATGTAAATCCCATCTATTTCCACATTCATCGTACTTACAATACGATAAATGCAAACAAAAACATAATGTTTGTATTTTTAGTTTTAGACATATTGTGGTATGTTGTAATTTTTCACTAAATAAACAACCTAGATTCTAATTTGTATATTTTACCATACCCCAAAATCCACTAAAATATGTAATTTAAATACTTTCATTCATTGATACAGAGCAGCAATACTCTCATTGATGTTTATAGCCTAGCATGAGTGCCGGACTCAGGCGGCGGGTGAGTGCGGCGTTGCCAGTTCGAACGTTGCGGCCTTGTATTAGAGGTGGCTGTGGTTTATCCTTATGGGTCAGCTAGACTATTGCATGTCTTCTTGTGGTAATGTATTTATTTAAACAATTTTTATTTAGATTTACATCACAAATCTTTGATATTATGGGCTAAAATTAGAGTGAAACATTTTTAGGTAACATCAGTGCAATCAAATGTTGCCAACACAATATACTCATGAAAGTATGCTTCCAATCTAAAAACAGGATGAGAAGTTTATTGCTCTGATAAAAACCTTTGTTTATAATAAATGTTGACAAATATTGATTAGCGTATTGTTTTAGTTCCTATCTACAAAGATCAATATTATTTGTTATGTCACTAAAATAAATATCAAACATTTATCGATATCCGTGCAATCAAATGTTTCCAGTACTTAATACTTATAACTAAAGGAGATGTTCCCTGCAGTGAGTGAGGGTGAAGTGCAGAACTGGTTTATGGAGTATAAAACTGTAACTGACTGTTTATCTTAGTGGTCTTCTTTGAGAAGTCTGGGTACCCACTAAAAACACAATCCCTTCCGAAATTAGCATTTTCACAGCCATTTTGAAACTCCCTAGCCTATTTCTGCACTTTCCACACTATCTTATAACTACCTATATATAATGATGTCTTAGTAAAAAAACATACATTTTAAATTTAAGTGTTTTCATTGGTGGTTGTACCTTGATTTTCGTCTGAGTTTTATATTTTTAAAATGCCTCACTGTTAAACAACTTATACATATTTTCTTGTCAACTCAGGAACCTCGTATTATTTTGAGGAAAGATCACTACATGGAGTTTAGAGCATGTTTCTTTTGTGTCTAGTACACAAAATAAGAGTGATGTTTTAGAACGCTCCTTACCCCCCTCATCTCCAAGATGCCCCCAACAACAGTCAAAATGTGTAACACTTTCAGTGCATACCCAAGTTTTACAAGTCTGTATTACATGTTGACAATAGCGGTTCGCCCGCGTCTCCGTGCTGCTTCATCGGAAAGCTTGAAATATATTGATTTAATTTTCTAATAAACAGATTTTAATGTATTAAAAACATACAATGCACAATGACAAACAGTAGGCCTACTATTTTTTTGTTTAATGCTTTGCACTTTCAGTGCATACTCAACACCATATAGATGCTGGATTAAAAGCCCTTTAATTGAGCATCGTGGTATAACACTGCACTATACGACAGTGAACCCCTTTTGAGGGGTTTATGGAAAACTTATATTTTTCGGGAAGTTTCACATCAAGGCCTTTCAATCAATTATGTGGTTCATAGGTGTTTAGCTTATGGGTTTCTCAAAATTTCATGATCCTTATTAGCTTTATAGAAGATTGTCAAAGGCTATTTTTGTGACAATAATTAATCAAAAGTATTGTCGTAACCTAACGTTACGCTAGAAAAGTGGACAGTAATTATAAAAGAACCACTTACGATCGCTGTTGGACATAGAAGGCCGAGCCGTGACGAATCATCCCACTTCAGGGCCCAGTGCACAGTGCAGTTACCCCGCAAAACATAATAACTCTTCCGTTACTAATAATTATGACTGTTCATATATGAAACTATAATGACTTCTACTACACTCGTCTTCCCCATAAAAAAAGTCAATATCATAAATTCAAAATTAACTCAACTTTCAAAATAAAATAAATTCACTTTCAATAAAATGCAACCAAAATTTCTTCTTCCCATTATTCATTAATAATTTTACAAGTCCAGCCTGTGAGGCTTTCCCACAGTCCGTCCAGACTTCCTCAGCGAGGGTGGTGGGCTGCACTGTGCTAGCGGCGACGCAGGAGTTGGCTGAGGCTGGGCTTGCCCTAGGCTCTCCCTGGGACTGGTAGTAGGCCTAGGTACAGGTGACATCATCAGGGGACTAGATGGTCGATCCTCCGGCGGGGGTGAATTCTTGGGTACTTGGGGTGATACAGCGGGATCCTTGGGTGATACAAAAATCTCCTCCTCTTCTGCATACCGAGCTCTCAAGTGGTCTGCATGACAAAATCGGGGTTTTCCACCAATGACACTCACAAGATAGGTGACCGGACTTCTCTGTAGAATTATTTTGCCAGGAACCCAAGAAATCTTTTCATTTCGGACAGATTTGACATAGACTGCCTGACCTTCTGAGAAAAATCTGCTTCTTCCCCTAAGCCTATCAGCTGCATCTTTTTGTTCCCTGTGTTTTTGATCAATGGATGACTGGAGATTGGGTTTTAACATAACCAACTGTGTACGAGGCTTCCAAGACAGGAACATTTCTGCAGGTGTTAAGCCAGTAACTGTATTTGGAGTGTTGCGGTACGCAAACAAGAAATTATCTAATTTCATTTGAAGAGTGGTACGCTGAGAACGCTGATGTTCCTCAATCACTTGACGCAAAAGGTTTTTCTTTACCTCCTGAACACTTCTCTCTGCAGATCCATTTGAAGCAGCATGATATGGGGGAGTTAATCTGAACTTCACATTGTTGCTTTGCAAAAAGGTTTTGAACTCTTGACTAGTAAAAGATCTTCCGTTGTCCGACACCAGTTCGACCGGCAATCCATACGATGAAAACAAGGTACGGAGTTTCTCGATAACCTTGGAAGAATTCATAGAACTCATGATAAATACCTCTAACCATTTAGAGTATGTGTCAATCAGAACCAAAAGTTGCTGTCTCGACTCTGGATCCTCCGCAAAATCAATGTGTATCCTCTGCCATCGAGTTGATGTTGTAGGCCATTGCTGCAACGGTACTTTAGGTACCGAATTCCTAGTTAACTGACAAGCAGAACAAGAAGCCACTACATCCTCAATCGACTTTTCCATGCCTGGCCAAGCTCAATAAGAGCCATGGTTGGTTAAGCGCAGTTAACAAACTTTCTTGTGGACGGAGACCATCTCGAGTAATCACATGTCCTAAATACTCTATTGAAGATTGCAAAAACTTACACTTTTGTTGGTTTACTCGAACACCAAACTCATCAAGGCGTTGCAGCACCTGCGCCAGACGGGCAAGCCCCTCTTCCTTAGAGCGAGCCGCCACTAAGACGTCATCTAAGTACGCCACCGTTCCTGGAAGACCTGTTAAAATTTGGTCGATGGCTGACTGAAAAATTGCAGGAGCTGAAGACAAACCATATGGTAGCCTTTTTAAACGATACAGACCCTTATGGGTAGCTAGGGTCAACAGATGTTGCGATTCATCCGCTACCGCCAATTGCTGATACGCATTTGAAAGATCAAGGCAGCTAAAAACTGAGCAACCGCCTAGAGTTGCAAAAATATCTTGAGCCTGAGGAAGCGGATAATGTTCCATTTCAATACACTGATTAAGAGTAATCTTATAATCGGCACAAAGCCTAACACCATTAGGCTTAGGGACAACCACAAGTGGAGTGCTCCACTGTGAATTAGTAACTCTGTACGCAACATCCTCTTGAACCATGCGGTCCAACTCACTCTCCACTTTCTCCCTTAACGCAAAAGGCACTGGTCTCGCCTTACAAAACTTAGGGACTGTCCCCTCCTTTAAGACAATATGAGCCTTAACACCCTTAATTTCGCCCGTTCCAGGCTGAAAAACTGACTTAAATTTACTCTTCAATTTAGCAATGTCCAAATCAGAACTGTGATCCACAGTGGCTTTACATGAAAACACATTTTGCCAATCTAACCTCAACTGACCTAACCAGTTTCGGCCCAACAGAATCGGTTGACTCTTACTTTCTAAGCTAACTACTGTCAAAGGCAAACTCGCCTGCTGATTATTATATTTAACATTGACATTCACTTGTCCCAGAACAGGTACATCATGACCTGAATAAGTAGTAAGTTTCACATTTGCTGGCCTAAGTTTGAGGTTAGAAAATTTTTCATAAAATATCTCAGAAGGACATATAGTCAAGGCACTACCTGTATCTAGAATCATTTCTAAATATACATCATTAGCCACTAGGCCTACCTTATAGCCGTTGTCTGATCCTGATTTAAGGTTGTACAGACCTATCTCTGCCATTGGAACTTCTAGGCCTAGGCCTACCTCTTCCTCCACTTGATGGACCCCCATCCTAGGTGTCGACTTTTTACCATGGAAACTAGAAGATTTCTTGGCTTTACACACTTTCTTGAGATGACCTACTCTCTGACAACCGTGACACTTGTAACTGGCGAACGCACACGCACTAGGCCAATGACCAGCAGAACCACACCTCCAACAAGAGTTTCTAGAATTTTGATTTTCACTACTCCTATTCACGAAAGTTTTAGGCCTATTTTGACTTTTCACATTGATTTTCGCAATGTCCCCACGAGGTTGCACAAATAGGCTTGACTGCGATTCGGCCTGTTCCAGCCTGAGCGCTAACGCATAAGCTTCGTCAAAGTCCAATTCCTCCGACAACAATTTCTGCCGGATAGTTTAATTAGAAATGCCGGAAATCACTTTGTCCCTCAAAGCGTCTTTCAAAAAGGTACCAAATTTGCACGAACTAGCCAAATGTTTTATTGAAACCACAAACTCCGCTATGCTTTCGCCCGGCTTTTGCACACGAGAGTAGAATACATATCGCTCCGCCACAACCAACTTCTTGGGCGCATAATGTAATTTCAACAACGCTGCAAGTTCATCATAGGTCTTAGAATCTACCTCTACCGGTGATAATAAATCGGATAGGACCGATAAAACCCTGGGACCAATAACTGTAATTAAAACCGACACCTCGTTCTCCTTCTTAACATTGTTCGCTTTGAAAAATGTTTCAGGCGCAACAAATAGGGCACAATGTCCTCCTCACTTGGATTAAATTCAGAAATCCTGCCAACACTAATACTCGCCATTTTTAATCATCTCAACTATAATACGCACTAAAACAACAACTGTTATCGCGTACTACCCTAACTATGATAAAAAGGTTTATTACCGACTGCGCCAAAATGTCGTAACCTAACGTTACGCTAGAAAAGTGGACAGTAATTATAAAAGAACCACTTACGATCGCTGTTGGACATAGAAGGCCGAGCCGTGACGAATCATCCCACTTCAGGGCCCAGTGCACAGTGCAGCCACCCCGCAAAACATAATAACTCTTCCGTTACTAATAATTATGACTGTTCATATATGAAACTATAATGACTTCTACTACAAGTATTTATTTTTTTATTCAATTAATTCATGAAATTTCTTAATCTCCTAAGTAAAAATTATTCATAAAGGGAAAATGATATAGTGAACTGAGTCAAAACTAGCATTTATTTAAACTTATAATCCAGCAAGTGTTGGAAAAAACACTTCTTGCATTTGAAACAAAACGGTACAAAATTAAAAAACAACAAACATAACTTGGCCAACTTGTGGTAACTTGTCATTGTTGAAACATAACATATAAAAATATTCAGGTAGGAAAAGATACTTTATGTAGGTACATAAGATACCTATTATATATCACGTACAGGATAAAGTTGATACAAGTTTAATACACAATCACAATACCATACCATTAAATCTAATAGAAGAAAGACTAATTGAACATTAGATCTTGTGGAAGATCAGAATGGTGATACAGTGGACCCCTCCAAACTTTTGTCTTCCAAATTACTTAAATCTACGGCGATATATAAAACAATTGAGTGAAAGCAATTAACTATGTTTTATTTTACGATAACTTAGTTTATAAGTTACAAAACCATACCATCACATAATATTTGTATATAACCTATGTATCTTAATGAATCTTAAATCCATGTGCAAAGAATCTTGCAAAAACTGAATCTAAAATGACCATTTAATAGGTCCTCCTGTCCTTTGACAATTATAAAGAAGGAACGGGCATGACATAAATAAAAACTAACATCATGACTGAAGAAATTTTAGTCAATCGAGTACTTCACAACAATAGCAGGCAACACCCCAGATTAGTTTTGAGTTATAGTTTGGCATAGGGTTTAATAAAGTTGTTGCAATTTAGATTTTTCTTCACAAGAAAAAATGTGCAAAGCCTATTTTCTAGGTGTATTATAAGTCGCATGATCTATTTGTATTATTCACAAGAACAGAACAGTACAGTGTTTAATGAAGGTTGTGCTATGCCTTACAAATGTTCAAATGCCTTAATGTTATACTACAATGCAGTGTCCTTACATCTACTATTTGTCAGGTTCCGGAGGAGGTCCACTGTACATGTGTATCACAAGATTGTCTACTTGGCGACAATGTGTTGCAAGTTGTCCAGGATACGCACCAAGTGACTGCCATCCCAGTAACAATGTCCACAATTATCACATACGTAGAACAACGGAACACTGTCAAACTTGTCTTTGGGTATGCTTTCGTGCTGAAAACAAAAATTGTTCGTGTTAGTCTTAAAACATTAAGAGACAAGCTAATATAAGTTTTTTGACAGCCTCCCTTCAACAATACTACTATGTAATTAAGATTGGAATAGGAGCTTTATAGATGTCTAACATGAATAAAGGTTTTGCCAGAGATAAGATACTGGTTTCAGAGAGGGATAGAGCTGCTTTCAATGTTCCAATCAGAGAGCAATCAAATGTCAACCCTCCTGATAGAAGGAAGGATATGTAATGTTGTAATGTCATATTGTTGAGAGTCAATGACTCTCTACTCAAGACCACAAACTGAACTGTGGTGCATGAGGGTGAATCAGCTAAAGTCAGCAGATGATACTTGGATGGACAGCAAAAACAGACTTGGTGTCTAAAACCAGGAACTGTCCTTTCCTTGGGGCTATTCCAGTTGAACTCTTACTATTTGGACCGTCGATTATCCAAACACTTTTTAAAACCTAAAACTAGGGTAATAAGCATTAATCCATCCCGGTCGTGTCACATCATTCCTTAACAGTTACCATTGACCGTTTAATCGTGTAAAATGTGCCGTTTTTTCGTGTTAATGTTCGTGTTTTTATGTACTTTATGTGTAATGACGACCTTCATATGAAGTGACCACCTTTTGACATCCTTGACGCCTTCGCCTGAAGATGACTTTGTAGAAAGTCGAAACTAGTTGCGACACTAGCAACAATAGGATTACCACGAAGCAGGTATTTACACCAACTTTATTTATTAAAAGAGGCAGACACCATGATTGTGTCAGAAATCATCGTCTACCATGATTGTGGGAACATCCTGAATATCTTCTGCAGGCTATAGAAATCATCACCTCCCACAGTCACGAAAACATCATCATTGTCTTTACGGGTCAAGGAAAATCATAACCCTCCTACACAATGGCGGCAAAAGCGTGAATTCTTTTCGCAAAATCTTTGCATATACATGACAAAACATGACTTTCTGAAAACATCCCCCAGAGTCTTGGTGAAGATCCAATCTTCTGGATTTTTTACTATGCGAAAGTGTTGCAGTCTCGATAGATTCGGTTGCTTGTAGTTCTACTGCATAAGATATTTTAGACTATAGGGCTCACAGTAGAATGACAGCAGCGACAGTGCAAGATAGACTACTAGAGTAGATGAGTTCTATGCTGCTAATAAATTTCAACTACAAACAGGTCTCGTTTTGGACATTGACGAGCAGAGGGAAGATCTGGGGCCGATTAATAAACTGTAGAGTGTTGATGGTTCTATAAAGAAAAGGCTAAAAGAAATAAAACACAAAAAAGAGACCAGCCTTGACTTTTTGAGCATTAGGTGAAAATTCTAAGCTAGTGTAAAATTAAATTAGAAATACCAGCAGTAGCCCTATTTACCTTGATATGGGCTCCTGTGCTCGTCTCACAGTTGTAGCCATAAAAGGTATCCTCTTCGACTGGTGTATGATTGGCTCCTGCCTGTGACGTGACATACCCTGATGGGGCATGGGTAACTGGACCTGGTATATCATCATCTGAACAGCTGTCATCATCAAAGTCATTGTAATCATCGTAGTCATCGTCAGCAATATCCAGTTGGTGAGCAGAAACATGCCGGTGTGTTCTGTAAGTTGAATCAATAGCTTTCCTCAACTCCTGAGGGGTCAGCTTCTTGAAATCTGCTCCATTACATAGCTATAAAAACATAATAAATATTGCCACTAAAGATCTCTAAATACAAAAATATGTAACAGGATTGACTAAAATATGAGGTTTTGAGGCCTCAACATTAACCCATCAGTTTTATTGTTATGTATAATACAGCTGTAACTTAGAAAACAGATTTTATTATATAGTTTTAAAACTGCTTCAAAAAATAAATATTTATAATAAATGTATTATTTATTTATAAGCTACCAAAATAAATAAATCACAAACTCTAACCAATTTTACTTCATAAAACATCAGAAATAAAACAATTACTCACGATTTTGACCTATTACTGTTCAAAACTGTTGCACAACTAACCATTTGATATTATAATAGTGTAGGTTATATTGTTTGGCCGTTTTCTGTTTGTTGACCAATGTATCCTTATTTAGGGATAATTGACATGTCAGTGGTTGGGATGATGAGATCGACCCAACGATCACATAAGACCAACAGATGGAGCATGCCTATCCAACCAAGATTGTAACAACTGAAGCACGGTCAGCCATCTTGCGGTAAGCCATGTGGTTGACAATGTCCCAAAACACAATGCTCTACTTCTAAATATCTCTACAAGTTAAGACACTGGAGCTACACAGAAAAGTATCTAAACTACTTGGGAAAACACTGAATGATTATTTTGTTCAAACAACAGAGAATCATTTTGTTCCATGGCTGTGTGAGTTCTATGGCCTACCTGTATTTCTTATACGGTAAACTAGCTGCCCTCCCCTTCATTCTACAATTCATTAGCCTGAGATTCATTTATGTTAACAAAACATACTTGTAAAACCTATTGATTTCAAATCAAGTAGTATTTGTAGTACATAACTCTTTGTCAGACAATCCAAATAAAATTCAAAACTTGTTTTTGAAACATATGACTTCTAAATCAGACTTTCCATTTACCTGACATCGACTAAATATATCCTCTTTAGCCACCACAACATTATAAAACCTCAAAACTTCCACCATCTGTTCTTTGGATGTTTGCTTCATCACTCGATAACACATTCCTTCAGGCACTTGTGTGTGCAGCTGAAACACAAATAAGTGTCATAAACTGAGAAATCTTGAAAATGGAGGCCTAAAACTGTAAAATGGCCAACTGACCCAATAAGGTTATATGTCATTTTGAAGAGCAGAAAAGACACATAGATAATGCGTGTTTCATGTTGGCGACATTTGAGTGTCAAGTCAATGTTTCTGTCTTATTTCAGCAAAGATTTCACAATTCACCATGCACTCTTTTTTTCTGTAGTTTACAAGTAGACAGCTGTAACAAGTTTAATTAGTTTTTAAGTTAATTCTGTACCGATTTTGTTGTAAAAAGGCAACAAATCAATACAGGGTAGCGCGAAGAACAGTCAGCTGGTTTAAACAATAGATCAGTATAGACCAGAATGCACCACGCACTAAAGTAGGAGAGGGGATAAGGTCTAGCCGGATGGTCACTTGCTTCCAGCAGTGCCAGTTCCTATCCAAATCTCATCGTAGCTAGTTCGGTAAAATTGTTTTTCGTTCGTGGAAATTAAATTCATTTCGCGGCGTTTGGTCGGGCAATCTTATTTTTCCTTAAAACCGTACAGCCTATATCCCTAAGGGATATAATTGCCCCGCGATTGGAAATTAGTATCAGTGTCATTGTCAGAAAGTGAAAAAGTTCGTTACCGGCCAACGCAGTTCCGCCATTTGAAAATTACACGTTCGTTTCACGAGTTCAATTGATCGCGTCTTGTAGAATACCGGCTAGTTACATTTCCCAATCCCTTCCCCTTTATTTGTGTCATATTTGTGGACGTCCAAACTGTAAGTAATTTGTGTTATTTATTCGTTAAATTTAGTTTTCAGTGAGTCGCACTTTTGTAAATTTTTCCTGTCTTGTTTTGTCATTTCATGTAGAATAAGCACATGTTCACTGGTTCAAATTCAAATCACTGATTTTAATATCCATTCATATTGTAGCAATCCGCTTTATTAATTAGACTGTAATAATCCTATAGTATTAAGAATAATTAGATGAAAATGTTTTTATAGGGCAATTCAGAGTTATTTAATAAGATTTTCATAGTGTTGGAATTTTTACACAGAGTCGTCGTCAATTTTCATTGTTGAGCAAATAGTACAATTCTTTTAAAGAGTGTCACAGTCAGTATCTTTTGGGGGAAATAAATTATTATCAGAGAAGGGAGCAGGTAGCTGGTTCGATTGATACGGAAGTGTTGTTGGAAGTTGTGCCAGTTTGAACATAGATGAACCACCAAAGTGCCAAATTAGCTATAAAATAATAAAGCAATATTCTGATAAACATTACTACGATTGAATACAATATTGTTCAATCAGTTGGACTGCGAGACGACCTTCGTTTTTAATCGTTGGCCAACGAAAGGATTTGCTTGGTACAGGTCATCTCAACCATTAGATTAAATACCACTCTTCCATTGATACTTTTGAGATCGGTGTGAAACCGCACCATACCTCCCCTTTGATAAATCCATTCAACAGTTTCAATAAATTTCCAACTGATTGTGTATCTCAAGGTCATTTTTACTTGAAAGAATACAACAACGACTGTAAACTGAAATAAGTGTATTATTAAATTCTGTGCAATAAACTCCAATTGTTACTCACTTTTAGTTCTCAATAACCTTGGTGTTCTAGTATATGCAATAGTATTTGATAAACAAAAGGTAATTCAGTAAATCAGAAGCCACTACAAAAGATTCACCTTTTAAGTGCAACACTAGTAAATAGTGTAGTAGTGAGCAGGTAAATTCAGTGTAGAATTAAGACTGGTAAATTGATCTCATTAAAGGTATTACTTTTTTGGAAGAACTACAAACAGTGCCAGGGGCGTCCCCTAAGGACCTTTGGGGAATATTCATATTTTGCAGGGCCCACACATATTTTTTCATAACATCAAGCTTCCACTGCCAAAAAGCTCTGTCTGATATTTTTATTTTCTAGAGTTCTTCCAACCCAGGGGCAACCAACATTTGTAAAGAATTCATTTGAGAGCATTGCAAGGAGCAAATATATTTAAATATAATATTTAAATATATGAGAGTAAGTCAGAGTAGCTTTTCTTTTTTTTCTTTACAAATAAATGATATCATCGCGTGATCTCTTGGTACTGTTTGTGTCTGTGCGATTCACTGAAGTTGTTTAGATTATAAGAAATTCTATTGTTATTGCCATCGTCATTGTGTATTGTGCTGTAATTAATTGTCAATTGGTTTTTGTCATCGTGGAATATTCATTTTGTTAAAGTCAGATATATCACCGTAAATCGAATTATTTTCCTAGCGAAAAAAAAAATGCACCAACAATTTGGGCCTGGGTATAATACAACTGCGAATGACCGACGTGACCGTATGTTAAGGAGAAATTTAGGGGAATTAATCGATTTAAATGCAACGATCAACCATAACAATGAAATAGTTCCACCAAATGACAATGGAGCTAATTTAGGTAGACAAAATTCCGATTGTCGTTTACCGATCGTGAACGATGACGAACCGTCGCCAAGTAGACAAAATTCCGATTGTCGTTTACCGATCGTAAACGATGACCAACCATCGCCAATTAGACAAAATTCTAATAGTTGTTTAATGGACCTAAACAACCACGAATTGACTGAAATACTATCAAGTACGTCGAATATAAATCAAAACAACAGTCATGCCAATAGCTCATCGTATGTGGATATTCAACCTTCGAACGAGTGTGTGAGAGAGAGAGAGATAGCGAATGCACAACAACGCGCGTCATTTCCTGTAGCGACTGGTTCTCTGTCTACTGTTGCCCCGGCCAGTGCCACCGTACAGTCGCAACACACCCTCACTGACCATACCCAACACCCACACCCACACACTCGACCTCTCACATACACTCACCATGACACACACGTACACGCTCACGCATACAATGTCAGTCAATCACTTTCCAAAACTGATCAAATCGTGGTAATTGAATTAATTAATAAATTGAACATAGTCGACGGCACAGATGAACTTGAATTAATTTCATTTCTCAAAAACATCAAACCAATATTTGATATTTCTCCGAATTGTCATACAGAGATCATTAAACTTATTATCCCTAAGGTCAAAGGTCAAATGTTCCAATTGTTCTTAGAAGCAGTATCAAGTAACGCACGCTGGAATGTCTTACACGACGAGATATTACACAGATTTATTCCGTCAATTAGGCGACGAGAGATTGCATCGTTTGAGTTAGATCGACCACAACAACCGAATGAAACTTTTTCAGAATACGTCGATCACATCATATCTATCGCATTCGCTTTAAAATCGTCAATGTCAGAAGGCGAGGTGATTGAGATTGCTTTGACAAAATGTAATCCAACTGTTCGAAGTCATTTTTCGTTCGGTCAAATGCCGCAAAGCTTATTCGAGCTAAAATCATTCGCAAATAGAATCACTAGTTCAATGCGTGCCGAAGAGAGATATTTTGGTAATGCAAATCGACGCCCTTTGATTAATTCGTCGCCTAGGGTTGTAAACCAAACTCGTCATAATCCAACTACGTCGTCAAACGATCTACGTAATAGACCCAGGGAAAGGATCGTAAAATGTTATCGTTGTCAAGGTGAAGGTCATATCGCTAGGAACTGTAGGGTTTCTTTAAACTAGATTCCGACGTTGTCAAGGGCACACAACGTCGAACTGTAAAGTTATCGCCCAACAAAAGCATGCAAGCAACAGATGTATCCGCGAAACTGCCGCTGATTAAGGTATTGTTTGGAAACAATATAGATTGCCTATCGCTGATAGACACTGGCAGTAGTAGGTCATTGATTAGTAAAACACTTTTTAATAAGTTGAAAAGTGCGAATTTGATCAAACAGTCAAGTAAAATTAATCAGTCAGTAGAGGTCGCGAACCGTCAGAAGATAACTGTACGGATGGAGGTCAAAGTTCATTTTAAGATAGATAATCTGTCATGGGACTACAATTTCTGGGTAGTTAATCAACTTCCGTTACAGTTAATCTTGGGGTACGATTTTATGAAGTTTGCGCGAATGTCCGTGAATTTAGGTGATTCAACAGCGGAGTTTAAGTTTAGGGAGAGTATTAAATCATATTGTTTGATAGGAGAAGGAGAGATCCCAACTTGTGATAAACCCGATCTGGGTGACTCACCGCTCACGGAAATCGAACGAAATAGCTTCGAAAACCTGCTTCGACAGTTTAGCGACGTTGTCACAGACAGAATCGGCTTAGCAAAGACTGAGCCTTACAAAATTTGTTTTAGTAAGGATATTGTGCCATTCCGACAAAGACCTTACCACGTCCAGCCAGATAAGATGGTAATAATGAGAAATACTGTGCAACAATTACTAGATGAAGGGGTAATAGAAAAAAGTGTTTCAGAGTTCAGTTCTAGCGCCTTCCTAAGACCAAAAAAGGAACCCGGGAAATTTAGATTGGTAGTCAATTATAAAGAATTAAATAAGTTTATTGAAATGGACAGTTTCCCACAACCAGAAGTAGATAAAGTTTTTCCTTATTTTAAAGATGCTCGTTATTTCACTACACTTGATTTGAACAATAGCTATTACCAATGCCTCTTACACCCTGATAGTAGGAAATACGCCGCTTTCAATGTAGGATATGCCTTATATCAGCCTCGTACTTGTCCCCAAGGAATAAAAATCGGCAGCCAGGTGTTAGGACGCATAGTCGACGAAATGCTAGGAGACTTAAAATTTAAATGTGTAATAAACTTTGTCGACGACCTCTGCATTTATAGCGCAAACCCACAGGACCATTACAATGACTTGAAAATGGTTTTGGAACGTCTAAGAGCCGCCGGACTTACGATCAAACCCAGCAAAGTCACCTTGGCAAAGAGGGGCATGCGTTTCCTGTCACACATAGTAAAGGATGGTAAACTGTATGTGGACGATACTAAAGCTGAGGTTATTAGTAATTTTCCTCGACCACGCAATTTAAAGGGTGTACAACGATTTATCGGCATGGCTGCTTTTTATGCCAAGTTCATACCTAATTTCT